ATATGTATATATATTTTTATATATTTATAATCACCATTTGGATTATTATAAGTATAATTTATCTATGCATGTAATCAAGTAATTGAGCATTATTGGTGCCATAAATACCACATGCTTAAAAATGATTTCTTTTATATTTTTTTATCGGAATTTAGAAGGCAGGTCGGTGGGCTCTGCAATTAGAAGAGAAAGGCAATTTTTGATTAAATTTAAACCGGCTTTTTTAACCATTTCCCCTTCTCTTTCTTTTTAAATTGTTGTAATTAATTTTTTTTTTCATAAATGTGGATTGTTTTTTTATGTCTATAAATAAGCAAAAGGAATATGGTTAAGGTAGAGTCGCCATCTGTACTTAGTAGATAATTTAGGATTTTCCAAAAAAAAAAGTCGTCTCTGACAAGTGCCGCAGGCGATCGACGAGAATTTTTTTCAAACTATGTTATTGAAGAAAGACGTTCATGTTCTGCGTAGCAGACAACCAATGAGATCTTCTTTCGTAAATGAAATTTGTCATTGTCCTACGCAGTAGACGACCAACGGGACCTTTCGTATTGCATCATAGAAGAAAATTGTTCTCATCCTGCATAGCAAGCAATCAATGGGACCTTCTTTCAGACTGCATTGCTAAAGAAAGTTGGCAACCAACCAGATCTTCTTTCGAGTTAGGACGCAGAGGAAAGTCGTTATCATTTTGTGTAGCAGTTAATCAACGGTATTTTCTTTCTTGAACAAGGTGCAAAGGAAATTTATCTCTGACTTGTGTAGCAGACGATCAACGGGATCTTATTTCGTGATGCTGAGATGAAGAATGTTGTTTTTGTTCCTGTCGAGCAGGTGACTCGGGATCTTCTTGCTTATTGCTATTATGCATTCCGGTGGAGATGAATAAATGCTGAAGTTTTCTCGTTGCGCTTTAAGGGGGAGATTTTCATGCTTATGTGACGGTGATATCTGGAAACCCCCTAAAAATCAATAGAAGTATTGAGTCAGAGAGTCGATGTCGACTCCACTCGAAAATGAGCTGATTTGTTGTAGCCCTTATATAAGTATATTTTGGTCTTTGTAGCCTTGCAATTGCCTATTGTGGCATTTTACACGGTGATGATGTGTCTGCCTATACGTTTTTTTCCAACTCGATGCAAAATAAAAATTTGATGTTGCTTCTCAGGTTTTTTTGCCTCATTTATGGGGTGTTGTTGCCCAACTTCTCAATTGCATATTGATATTGGAAATTTATGAGCTTTGTGCCTTATGAGGTTCTTTGGCTTGTCAATCATGTGAAAGTCTGCAATCAAAGTTAGCTTGTGCAATTTATATAAAAAAATCACGTACCTTTTTAGACTTGTGCCTTATGAGAGTTGTATCATCTTGGGTGTGTATCTTCTAAGGCTTATGTTGTCTAAGAGCTTGAAATGCCTTGGTGTCTTATGATGAACATAGCCTTCTGAGGGCTTTGATGTACATATACATCCCGAGGCTTGAAGCATTTTAAGGCATTTGATGTATCAGTGTCTCTAAATACTTACAATCTTCTAATGTGTTTGATGTACTTGTGTCTTCTGAGGAATGTAGCATTTTGAGGTCTTTGAGTGAATACCCTATCAATAACTTGCTCTCTTGGAGTCTTTCTAGTAAGGACTTTATCAACTACTAGCTTCCCGTTAAGACTTTTAGATTGGGCTCATCTTCGAAGAGCACGATAGCTTCCTATCGAGTCTTGCCTCTTGGACTAGACTTCCATGAGTATTGTATCTTCTCGTCTAGTCTTGCCTTTTGGGTTTGACTTCAAGGAGTGTCGTATCATCCCGCCAAGTCTTGGCTATTTGGCTCGACTTCTAGGGGCATGGTAGCTTTCTATCGAGTATTGCCTCTTTAGCTCAAATGCCAAGGGTATTGTATCTTCCCATCAAGTCTTGTTTGTTCAGTTCGACTTCAATGAGTATTGCGAGACCTTCTAATCCACTACAAATTTCTTACTATTCCCAAATTGTTAGTCAAAGTGTGTTTTGTCTAATGATTTTAGTCTATGTTGGAGCAAAGTTGAAAGGAGAATCCACTGAGGATGTAAAACCCGTCCTAGGTTGTATGGCTCAAGATGCTCGATGGTATTAACCCATAACGGACAAAGTCATATGAAATCCATTGAGGATGATTGATCTATCGTAAGTAATAACATATGCTATTGTTTGATGACCATAACCTGTTATGGAAGAGGTCTAATGAAATTCATCAATGATTTTTGAATTATACGAGGTTGTTATTCAAAGCTTCTACTTATCAAATGTAGCATGTGATGGAAGAGGTTAAATCGAATCCCCCTTAGAATTAATTAAGCCTAAAATGAGGTGTCACATGCTCTGTGTTTCCCGAGATTGGGGTGTAGGTCACAATGAACTGTATATTTTCTTGGAAGTATGGTTGCAACCATACTCAAAAATAATGTTTGACAACTTAATAGTTGCTATTTTTTAATCTTTTACCCCCCAACTAGGACGTTTTCACACGAACTTGTAAAAAACCCATTTATAAAGCCTTGGAGAGATCAACTTCATGATGTGGTTGAAGAGGAACTCCAGTACGATGAGGCGTTGATGAAGTGTTATTTCACAGTGAAGATTGCCCCCAATAGAGGAGCGATTCTTGAAGACTTGTAATGTGAATGAAATGAGGGACGACCACCCTATCATTATCGTGTCTGAGATGTTAACATGAACAATCCTTTGAAACTTCAGTAAAGATTTCCATCCAACATAGAAGAAGTTGTAAAAAACTGTGTCTGAATAGGATGCAAGAAGACAACCCAACTACAATCATGATAGGGATGTTGGCATGAACGATCTTTCGAGACTGCAGTAAAGCTTTCCCCCCACATAAAATAACGCTCTATAGATGATCTCCAAAATGTAAAGATGGTTCCTTTGTGAGTTGGATAATGTACACCATTAAGAAATGAAGTTGGGGCTCAACACCTTAGAGTTGAAGACAGTGGAAAATGTTGTTTCGTTTCCCACAAATGGTGTCAAAAAAATGAGTGATATAAAATTCAATGTAGTAGAGTGATATATTATTTTTTTTTGGTGTGGTGTAAAGATTCAATATACATTCAGAAAAGCGAAGTTAACTAGTAATGACGCCAAAATTTTTTACGTGAAAAACCACGGTCTCACATTCAATAAAGGGTTACAAAGTCTTATGAATTATAACGTCGACGTGCATATGAACTTGTTGCAAGCGGCGGTGGCTAGCAAGTCGGGGTCGACGACAGTCGGCGGTGGTCAATTGTGAAAGGAGTTATATTGAACTTTAGCTCATTCTCAAAGCTTCGAGCATTTCCTAAAGCCTCAAGCTCTTCTCATGAAGAGAGTGGAGGCTCTATTTATAGAGTTTCAATTGCAGTTAATGGAGAAATATAAACAATTTTGATCGGACGGCTTAGAGGGTTTCCCTTGATCAGACGGTGCCTGATAAACATTTGGATGTCTTAACAATGTCAGAATTAAGTGATCTTGGACTCGTTGGATTTGTCTCGCTGACGCTCGATTCAATTACAAACTCACTGAATCCGATATTAGTTCGACCTTCCAAATGTGTATGAAAAACTTCCAAACATGGTTTAATAGCTTGATTAGGGCTCAAACTGGTTCATATTGGATTGATGTTGGCACCATTTGGTTCGTCTAGTTGAGCCGGTCAGTTTGACTATGAGTTTGTTGAAATCAGACTTCTGGATGACTCTTATCATACTTTGAATATTTTTTCTTAAAATATTGTCTCGAGAATCTGTGTCATGTTTTGATATTCATGTTAGATGATGAGAATTTGTTCATTACATATTATATATATATATATAGGTAAAAAAAATGTTTGGTAGGTATATTTATCTTATATAGGGTATGATATAAGAATAAAAAAATTATAAGTTGAGCCAAGAAAGCTATTCGTAATGATTTATATGTACGAATGTGTGTGTCTGTTTGATGATGGTGTGCGTTTGTGTGTGTTCGTGTGTGTATCTTAGCTGTCATGGTCTGACCCGAAAGCTTTGAATTATCAATGCTATAACTTTCGGTTGAACGAATCAATCTATCTAACAGTTTCATTTCACAAAAAAAAAATCAGAGTACAAAAGAGTCATTGTCTTTCATAAACATATATTTACAAATTTGATGATGTTTGATTTTAGCTCACAGGTTCAATTTTGTGAAAATTGGCTTTATGGTTGACTTGGGTTGACTTTAAGTTTGAATTTGGACAAATTTGAAAATGGACTTGGAATTGAGTGAGATTATATTTGATTAGAGTTTTCGATTGATTTGATGTGGATTTAGGGAATTTTGGTAGAAACTGGGTAATTTTTGTATTTTGGGTATTTTTGGAGATTTTTGTCAATTTTGAGTAATTTAGAGCTTTTGGTCAATTTTGGTAAATTTGGGGCAAGTTTTGGCAATTTAAACAATCTTAGGGTGGTTTGGAATGATTCTTAGTGAAAAATTGGAATTTTGGGTGATTTTATGTATTTTTAGGCCTCGAGGGTATTTTGGTAATTTTGAGAAATTTTGGGGTTAGAAGGCCAAAGTTGGATATTTTAGAATTGATTGGGTTGGGTGATCATGCAAGCCATGAAGCCTCCTTAAAGCCTAGAAGAACTCATTTTGGATCATCGATATGTTTATCATAGCCATCTTAACCAAAGGTTAAGGGATTGAGACCACCCACCTGAGTTTCTAAAAAGAGTTAGGAGATAGGTCAAGTGTAAGTGACTTTAGGGTTTAAGGTGTGTGGGTAATTGTGATATGTTCAAGTGTATGTGTGTAAGAGACCAAGACCAAGCCACTCAGGGTTATTCTAAGGTCAATTGATATTATAGGAATTCTCTATGAGCTTTCTCTATTGGTTTCAACCTTCTAAGTACTAAAGATTAGAACTATACATGTGAAACTCCAAAAAGAATAAGGAAGCTTTCAAAATTTCTAAGGGAGGTCGGTTCCATCAATAAGCTTTTAGGATAGTCAACAAGAAAGTCTTATAGATAGATTTTAGGCTTCTAAAGAGGAGAATTAAATAGGAGAAGCTTAGATCTCACAAAAACTTAGACCGCATCGCCGGATCCTATTTCTAGATTTTGACCTCCAGTCTTGGGATTCCCGCCAGCGAGGAAGCCATGACCGGTGTTCTGCCTGCTTTTTGTTTATTTTTTCACCCAAAAAATGGCATGCAGAACATTTTCTTATCCATTCCAAATGAGGAAAGAGGCTAGGGACTTGTAGTCCTTTCCCTAGAGAAAATTTAACTAGGGAAGGAGGCCATTTGTAAGGGATCGACTGTCATTTTGCTTGAGGAGCTTAGGAAAGAAGAAGGCTATAGGAAGAGCATTCAAGGAGATTCTAAGGAGATTTTTGAAAGGGCTTCTTCTTCTCCCTTCAAGAGAACCCAATGCAATCTCATTTCTCCCATTTTCCTCAACTTTTCTTCAACTTTTCCAGTCATCTTCATGGTCTCCGACGACTTCGAACTAGACGATGAGGAGAGTTTCCTTACCTTTTCGAGAAGGAGAAATCCATCAATTTCCTTATTCTCACTGGCTATGAGAGCTTGCTCATCACTTGGGAGAGGGAATCCGGTCGTCTTCTTCGTCTCCGACGACATTCCGACGAGTCAACGAGGAAAACTTCGCTAACTTTGTTATCCACTCTGTTGAGGAGTGTTTCTTCATTAC